GGCCTGATGTTTTGAGAAAGCCGCGTTCGGCAATCGAGCGACGTTAACAAAACACGATAGCCATTGCGGTCCACGTTCATTACCAACGCTTATTGCTGTTCAAAATATGCGCTGGAAAGATACGAAATTATTTCGTAAACAAGACGTTGCGTTCTCGCTAGTTGATATTGTAAATTGCAGTTTCGGTTGGCGAGCATCTGTAAGTAAACAACGTTCATTATCGAGACGTTGTTGATTTATGTGCGAAAGATTTATCGTAATACTAGCTTTCCGCCCGCGGCTTCGCCCGCGTGGAATTTTGTCTGTCACAGAAAAACTTTATCGCGCGCGTCCCTGTTTCAAAAACCGGGATAAAAACTATCCTATGTTCTTTCCCGGGACTCAAACTATCTCTATGCCAAATTTCATCAAAATCGGTTGCGAGGTTTAAGCGGGAAAGCGTAACAGACAGACAGACAGACAGAGTTACTTTCGCATTTATAATATTAGTTGGGAAGTTGGGATTCTCTTCCAAAAGTTGAACATTTCACATACCAAAATAATGAATGTCAAGACCGTATTTACGTCGTTTAGTAAACAGTAGAAGGTAACAGTAACAAGACTTCATCGTGAACCTAAACAACGAGGTGTAACAAATTCATAATTTATTCCAACTCTCATGAATGAACCCGTAGTAGGTATACTCCGAAATCAGATACGCAAAAGTAAAGGTATATAAACATCTAGATATCAAACGATTCGTCACAGTGGTAAAGTATAACATCCCCGGTGGGTGAACCTTCAAGGCCACTTGGGGGTAAGACCCTTGAGAGGTATTTTGGAATAATTGAAATCGTATAGGAGTGATATAAGTTGATCGTAATTCGTGTTGTAGGTAATCAAATCTTGTAGTCGGTGACCATTTACGACGGGTCAAATTGTTTGATGTTCTGACGGCAATTCTAAATTGTAGAGACGTTTTGGTCACAACCAACTTTTTAATTTCAAAATATTTTTTATATCGAAAAATTATTTTTTTTGGAAAGGGGGTTTCAGCCAGACATGTATTGCGGATGTCTGCGGCGGGTTCTGGAGTGGAAGGTCCTGTTTTGCGTGCTCGCCCCGACGGTGGGGGTAAGTTTTTCACGAGGCCCTATATACCGCGACCACCCCGGCTCGTACATAAGGTGGGCGGTGGCTGGGGTGGTTCGCGCCCGCAAAAGGGGCAAAATACGGCGTACTCTGGGCGCCCGCTCTATGTGGGTCAATGTCGGGAAAGCCCGTGTCTGCCGGTGACGGAGTATGCACAACGAATCTGATCAACATGCCCGTGACCAAACAAAGAAACTGTCGAAAACCTCCCAAGAATATATGCGCCCTTATGTCCAAGCAATAAGGCCTATTTTGCAGACGATGTTCGAGATCGATGGCTGACAGTCTACGGATAGCTATGCGAGATGCTCAATACAAATTTCAGCCCTGTAATATTTTATGTATGTCCCTGTAATAAGCTAAATAGATGACTCATTTGTATCACTATGTAGAGAGAACTACGAAAACATTGACATCATAATGCAGGACTTCTGATCGCACTTACTGCTCTACAAGAACGTTTATACAATCTTCTTCGAACTTAGAGGTGTCTCTACTCTATCTTTTAAAAAGCATATAAAATTACTGATGCGAACTACAATACAACAAACCATTACAAAAATCATATTATCCATTGTAGAGCTAAAAACGATACATTATGGCCAACGTTACATTGAATAACATTGATGTCGTAAATGACGTTATAACATTAGCGGGTAAAGTAAGACGTAAGTTTTTGTGTGATTTCTTATTCTTGATTCTCGATGGTCCGCTCATCAGGCTTTTCTATCTAATGAATCAGCCTAAGTAGTAAGTAATGACGAAGTTGTATCTAACATTATTAATTTATTATCATCACAGATTGTTATCTTAACATAAATAGGTGAGCGAGATAAGCTACTGCACTTAACATTTTACAAGTACCTTGATGACAATACGATTATCATACTTATACCTAATTAAAGTTTCGGACATTTTGTCACAGAATCTTTAAACACTATTTTTGAATGATCAAACGAACTTACCAAGTGAAGTTCGATCTAAATTATCCTGTTTTCGCCGAAGAGATTTATTTTACCATGTAGTACCCCTGTACGACAACCCAATCCGCACACAATATTCAGCGTAGTAGTATTAAAAAACAAAAGAGCGGGCAACCCCACCCCTACCACGCTGTGGGCNGAAGTCAATATCACCAGAAGACCCAATATGTACTCTCTACTCTCATGCCATTATAGAAACTATAAATATAACATCGGCAATATGAGGGCTCTACTCCACGAAGCCAAAAAATACGAAGCGCTCGTTTAATTTGTGGACACACATGTTACACATATAATTTTATTCATAACTACTCGTAATATTCATCGGCCTATGTGTGCGTTAATACTTAGTTGGCAGAATGATCATGTCTACGAGAGAGCCATGTTGATGGACACATAAGAAATTTATCATTATGTGAAGCGTCCGCATTTCAGGGAAAATTTAAACTAAAAGCTCTGTGATAAATATAGCTCGTAGAATTTTGTTTAATGAATTGGAAGGCTTTTCCGACTGAAAGTGAGAATAAATTGTAGAGATTTATGTACACATCAGTAAGTTAGCGGAAGTGATCCATATTGATAGTAGAGCCCCATTCTGATACTATAAATCGTAACACAAAGTATAGGTAAGAATTTTCAACAATAAATTAGACAGTATGAAGGGTTTTGTTGACTGAAAGTGGAAATTGGAGATATGCATACATTTATTATGCCAGTTGAGGTGACCCTTGTTGAAAATATTAGAGCCATAAATATACCACAAAAGTATTAGGCATGAGAGAGGATGATACGAATGGGAATCGTATGAAAGTGAATCCCAAGGTTCTCTCTGACGTAAACTGACAAGTAAGTCGGACTTTTAATGCACGACGCCACCTCTCAAGATTCTTATCTGAAAGGTGGAAGCAGTGGAGTGCATGAGTTTTATTCCGAGGAAGGCTGAACTTAATTCTTCCAAAGTGGCGTTAAAAGAAAATCTATACAGGGTGGAAACGTTAAGTGATCTCATTCAATTATTTCTAAACTATATAAGATATTGAAAATCTGGTTACTGATCCTGAAAGTGCTTCATGAGCTCTTTCAAACGGTACCAATAATAGGTTACAGAATAAACTGGATCTATCTGAAAATTCAATGTTTCCAGCTTCCATACTAAATGTATGCCAGACATACAATATTAGAAGTGTATTTTTTTATTGAATAATAAACTCTTAAAATAAGCTCGTAAATTGTATTCTTATTTAAACTTATTCATGGAAAACATTGGTTTTAGGCTTTACTTGCTATAATATTGTCAAGAGATGAGTGTCATGACTGTGGTAGTACTAAATGTATGGAAGAAGGTAACATTGAATTTTTGGGTAGATCCAGTTTATTCTGTAACCTATTATTGATACCATTGGATAGAGCTTGTGAAGCACTTTAAGAATCAGTAATCAGTTTTACGATATCATGTGTAGTTTTTAAAATAATGTGAATTTACGAAATGTATGGAAACTGGAAACATTGAATTTTCGGATAGATCCAGTTTAATAAGTAACCTATTATTAGTACCGTTGAATAGAGCTCATGAAGCACTTTAATGATCAGTAATTAGTTTTTTGATATCTTGTATAGTTTAGAAATAATCGAGTGAGATCACTTATCGTTTCCACCCTGTATTTTGAAATTCTAATAAGTTAGAAATATCTCTGATGGTCTAAATCAGGGGTTGCCAACTTGATAAGTATTGGGAGGAGGCGCCACAATAAAAAAAATCCCCGGTAGATCCGTGGCTGTCGGTTTCCTTGGCTTATTCCCAAAGGTCTACGAATCTATTGTTCTTCTGTTCCCACCGGGTCCATGAAAATTTAAAATATACTAAGAAAATGTTTTTTTCTTTTTAATGTCGTGGAACTCGAGGACTCGTTAGGAATCAAAGTATGAACTTACATTTTTTTTTAACATTAGAGCTGTATTCTTTTGGGAATAAACCGTTTTCGTTTCCCTGGTCGTACCTACACAGTGTCAGCCCAAAAGTGTTACAAGAGTGGCGTTCTCAGTAGCATTTATTGAAACTTGCGTGCAGTTGTTTGGACACGCAGGGCACGACATCATGACGTGCTTCATCTACTGGGGAACACAACCACACTGTTTGCCTGGTGTAAACCAGGGAAACGAAACGACATGGCTTATTTTTTGAAACAATAACGTTCGAATCATCGTTCCTCGGATCTCAAGTCAACCGAAACCGTTGGGTTATTATCGCGTCATGTTTAGGGTAGTATAGGTACTCACTACAGATCACAAAAACTAAAGGGAGATGTGACAAGGGGGCGGGGCCGGTGTCGCAGCAATATGCCCAAAAACAGAACACATTGCTCGTGACAGCAATGATGACAGCAGCGACGTCATATAGTAAACAGTTTACATTGCTTGCGTAGTACTAAAGATTATTCGAACGTTGAGTACTGATACCGCAGTGGATTGAGCACATGTTTTGATTACTTTGTGTGTATGAATTTCTAATGCGACACTGAGTTTCGAACTCGGCGCATTAGTTGGCATCTCTCTATATCTCTATATCTATGGCAAGGCTGCTCAACCCCAGAAAAGAATTTTAAGTGGCCCGTGCATGTACAGTTTGAAAAAAAAACGCACCAAATTAAAAAATCCCGCCGCGCACAGTACATGTATATGTCGCAGTAAGATAGATAAAGCCGTAATATAGTCATATCCCTAGGGATATAATTATATACCGTAACATAGTTATACGAAAATGATACAAACTTTAAGACCTCTCTGAAGTTATCTGTAAAAAATTTAAGTGGCCCGTCGTTAACGACTGAATCCACCGTTTGGCCCGACTTTTCAAAAGGTTGAGCAGCCTTGCTCTATGGTACTCACCGACAGCTGGTGACATGGATCGCGACCCGCTGGAGCCGGTGGGGCTGGGCGTGGGCCTCAGGTGCGGCGTGGTAGCGCGTCCAGCGCTGCCGCTGCCGCCCGAGTCATTGCTGTTCTGACCGGTCAGATCCTGGAACAAGACAAGACAAGAGGTCAAATCACTGACAATCACAATAGCAATTCGTTCCAAATCCCTTGTTTTCTATCTTTTGGAACAAAAGGCAAGAAGACGTGAAATTAGATGTAATATTTCTACATTTAAAATTAGTTTCCAATCAATTTTTCATGAGCTTTAAGTTAACCTATGTTTGTTTTAGTAACTAATATTTTAACCAGTTACCGTAACTCCAATAAGCTGATATTAGCATAAACCTAATGACAATGCAATTAAATGTTGAAATGGAGCTGATGATTACCAGAGCCACCAACCTAGCTCCTTAATAACTTTTAGCAATCATATCGTGTTTGGGCTCATTAGTTTAGTCTTTATGAGGGCTCTTATTTTATGGACTTGAAAGTTGTTTTTAAAAAGGTTGTTTTTACCATTAATTCTTAAAGCAAACATAAATCAATTACGACAAAAATTACTTCCTAGAAATAGATATCAACGCGTTAGAAGCTATAATAAAAGATTATTGTGCGAACAACATCATGATGGTTCTGTCGTAAAGAAATGAGACGACTGCTGTGTGAAAATACTCGATTTCTGTATTCTAGTTACCAGGCTCTTCTATGTATTGTGTTCATAATCATCATAGTCATTGTACTTTAGAAGTACTTAAGATAGATTTGCTAAATGAACTTCTGTGTAGCAAGAGCTGTTACAAATGTTATCCTATTAGAATAATTAATGATTTTCTTACGATGCCTTGTTAAGTTTAAGGTCAATCTACATGATGCATATTTGAACTGCACAAGTTTCACAAAGCATAATGGTAGATGCCTTGACACAGCAACCTCGACAGTCAAGAAGCAGCCAACAATAGCAAACCTGAGTCAATAGAGTACGGTCGCATGCCGTAATCGCACAATAAAACAACAAGAGGAATCCCCGCAAACAATGCGTTCACAGTAAATGCCAAAATAAAAGCAACTTTATGCACACTATCGCTAATAATAAACTTATGTACAGTCACGGAATGAAAAGGTTCGTCAGTTTTCAAATTGATTCCTTCAACGAATCGCGAGCACATATTACCTTTTGAAACTATGTTACAGAATAATCTCGAGTTAGAGAAAATAATCTTTAACTGTTCGTAAGTAAAGTTCAAAATTATTCAGATCAAAGTTGTTTGACGATTTATCTTGTCAAGAAGATTATCATGATTGATAAACTAAAACCTTCTTGTTGGTTCAACCTGCCATTATTATGTCTATTAAATAAAAAAAAACTATTGTCAATTGGTCAATGTCATCACTGCATTGCACTGATGGGATAGAAAAATAAACAAGCAAAACCTTATTCGTGAGCAAACGTCATATTTATTTAAATGTTAGCAGTACTGTTTCTTGCACTGTTATGTTGGCAGGTTTGACTCTTACAGTACCTAGTGCAAGCGAAAACCAACACTAAGGTGACGAACCTTTTCATTCCGCGACTGTACCTCGCCTCGCTCAACTTGGACTAGCGACTATTACTCACGTTATGCAACATTGCAACTCAATGTTACCATAACAGCTGACACAGATGGTATTGATAATGATCTTTGACAATCGTATAATATACGTACCGTCTCAAAGCAGTCTGTTCGACGATCGTAAATAATCGTCGGCGATCGCGATCACAAGGAACAACGGTAAACGCGATCGGAGCAAACTGTCAAACGGACGCGTAATGGTGGCCATACACGTTAGGGTTTGCATGATGGTTACGACCGTACATGCTTAACCAACAGGTATAACCGAGTTATCTATAGCACATACACGTTAGGGTTTGCATATACAATCTAAATGTATTTAACTCAAAGGTGACTGGCTGACTGACATAGTGATCTATCAACGCACAGCTCAAACCTAGCAGTAACATTAAGATTTCTAGCAACAGGGAGAACACATGAGTGTCTTAAATATTCACCACCATTCACTGCCACAGACTATAGGAGACTGAGAGAAAACTATGCATGCAAGCATGAGCGGGCGCACACACGCTCGGTTATGCATGTGCGCAAACATAACCGAGCGGCAAAAATATCTTTTTTGATATTCGTTAGGTTGCATGTACACGCACCAATAACTGTACAGTTTTATAACATACACGCTAGGGTTTGCATGTCGGTTAAGCATGTACGGTCAAAACCATCATGCAAACCCTAACGTGTATGGCCACCATAAGTGTTAAGCTTTTCAAAGTTAAAATCGAGTCGTGTTAGAGAGAGCGGCGCGGCGCGGCGCTGCAGCGTTCACAGCGTTGGAACGGGCTCGACAAGGCGACTCGCGACCCCCCGCTGCCGAGGTTAGTCCGCGCGAGAGGCTCCGGCGTCGATCAGACGAGTCCGGTCCCTGGGGCGCGGGGCGGGGGACGCGATAACCGCGGTGTTTTTGCCGTGCTCCAACTCGCTCGCTCGGCACACCAGCGCGTTCTTCATTTCGTACAGAGTCCATTATCTCTCGCTCCGTCCCTCTCGCACCCGTTGCTAGCTCGTCGCGCCTCGCCGCACCGGCCGCTGTTTTATTGCCAGCCGACGATTTTAACGTGCGCTCGCAACGTCCGCCGGAGCACAAAAGTTTTTATGGAAATTTCATTCCGAATGCGCCTCGCTCGCTTGCTCACTCGGGAACGTCAATATAAAAGCACGATAACGAACGGACGAGTCAATTAATTATTATTGTTGGAAGCTGTCGAGACGTGCCGGTTGGCTCTATCTAGATGCTGTGTTTGTGCAGCGTTTTGACAAGAACATTAGTCTACGTGCTTACATCAATCAGCCGGCACGCAATAGCATCTCATTTAGAATAACGCACATCTCGAGTCACAGAACTCTACATAAATTCTGTATAGCGGCTCTAACCTGTCTACTAAGATTATGAACTTCATAATCTTAGTAGACATAATATGAAGTAACATTGGGTCTTAAAGAACTTACAGTTATAAATGTTGTTTTTATGGGTTCCTTGTCAGGAAACCTAGGTAATTTGAGTTTTATCCGACTCTTACAACTCGTCGGCGTCTTTGTACAATATTTTTTCAGGTTAAAGCTGCTGAAATGTTAACACGTATTTTCAAACAATTTTAAGAATTCAAAAAGCTCCTCCTACATAATAAGTTCTTTAGTAATTATTGTCGGAGATATCAACATACTGAGATTATAATGGTGGTTGGACTTGCTTGATGTTATAAGTCACAACGACATGCGACTTTCAGTGTACTTACAGCATACCAAATTAGGCTTATTTGAACTCTACAACTGATGACAATGAAAATTTATGGAAATCAAATATCACTGATGACTTGTTTGTGTTTTGTTACGCTTCTGTAGGTAGGTCGAGAGGATTTACTTCACAAGAACTTAATAGTCTTGTTATGTCACTTTTCAGCTGATCATATGCTTAATTAGTGTCAAGTCAACAGTCTGGTCAAGTTTCGGTCTCATACTGCCAACATTGACAATGAATTTTTCAGTAATTTAAAGAACTCTACCTGTGTGCTTATAATGATGTGTCTTTCAGATTCATGTAATAGGTGCCGTGAGATTAGAATATTCACTCTGGCGACCAAAAAGTGTAAATTTTAATCGTGGGCATGACCTCTTGCCATTTTTATGACCAAATAGATATATCACAAAAATAACATTTTGATTCACATTGTTAAACGGTCATTGATGTTAGATCCACCCATAACTGTCGGCCTTTAGATCTCGGTCAGTCTGTGTATGGACATATTATCTAATCAATGACTTACATTTATAATGTCCAAGTTTAGAACTGGTTAGTTAATCATATCAACCCGATAACGGCAGCGATAAACGTGTAAGCGAAATGGAACGTTTCGTAGTGCAATTCCGAATGTCATTCACATCGTAAGCCAACAAATTTGTGTTATACGTATGTTGTACGTATACGTTGAACGTGAGCGACGTTAGGCTTAAAATGAGCCGACCGACTGCACTTGGCCCAAATCCGGGCACAAATAAACACAAAACCGCTCTTCGGAGTGCGTCTACACAATATGTAGAGCGGAGGTATTCGGCACCAGTAAATAGAGTACGGGCTGCGTGCTGCGAACTATGTGCAGTATATGCAGATGCAATGGAAACGAGGCGACTTGGGTCATGAAATACACCATTGAACCGAAGGCTCACGTGCCTCCTGGCCGTAACAATGTACCGTTTTAACTAGCAACTCTACCTAAGGCGTAACTTTGTTCAACGTAATGTAAAAGTCGCATACTTTTGTGGTACCTTCACGAGGGAAAAAATGCCTCGAGGCATTGCCTACATGATTACAATGATGACCAGCCAAAATATATCTTTATCCAATCTCAATAACATTGAAGAATCGTGCGTGAAGTGTTTAAAATGGACTAAACATTAATGATTACGTCAATCAAGCAGCATTGGCAACTAAAACGTATTAAAGAGACGTCCTTGATAAAATCCATCGTGGTCATTGCTATCAATGAGCGATAAATTATGTGTAGTAGTTAATTTTTATCTGGTAGGCTAGGTCAGTGGCACGAGACACGCTGCGAGCTAACGCTATAAATAGCCGCTGATGGCTCTGGAGCTGGTCTAAATAACCGCAAATCCCCTGCATCGCGGCGAGAGCCGCTCCACCACCGGTAAAGTACGCTTCATTTTACTATTCATAGTTTTTTATTACTATTACAAACGTTGTATGTGGTTATGGTTACGAGTTAAATGAAACGAGATTTCTTTTTGCAAAAACAACAGTGAATTCAGCCCATGCTTATATTTTTTGCATTTAGCAACGAACGGATCCATTTCTAGACGACTGTCATAGCTTACGGTTCTTTCAATAATAGGAATCTATGAATGGAGCCCCAAATTACAATCCTCTTTATACGTCCGTATATAGCAAACATCCAAGTTGAGTCAAATCTCGGTCGGTTACGTCACAACAACACATCGCGTATTCCGTGAAAGATTAGAATAGACCGTACTGAAATGGGGCAACAATGTCATTCGAGACATGACGAGATTAATCGGCGTAAATGTGTTCCAAGATCATTCGAGAGTTCGTCGACCGGCGTGCGAAAATGTTGTCGTAAATAAATAATTCACAAGGCTAGTGTTCTCGGTTGGGCCACGTGGTAGCAGGCACGTGGAGTAGGTACATAAACATTTACATTACATAACCGGCTCGTCATCGGCGACCGCGCGCTATCGAGAGCGAAATGTGCGAGTCTTACAAATGGCTGCACCGTGGTTGGCGAATCCGCCGTGTTACCCGATTTTGTGCTAATGCTCACTTATTCGATACGCACCTAATTTGTAATGGTTCTGAGCTTCACGCTTCATTCTCAGACAAAATCAGTAAGCTGTGTCACACCACAGCCATATTAGACAGTAAGTAGAACGCCACTTTTCTTCTCGAAATAAGGCAACATATCCTAGTAGACAACACCAGAAATGTATATTCACATAGTAGACATAAGCAGTATTCCAATTTAACCTTTAAAGAGAAGAAAGGGTCTGCCGCATAGAATGTAAATGTTGCGTCTCTACCTAAGATACAACAACAGCTAATAAATTAGGTTCGAATATAACATTTCTGATGGGATCTTAGGGCTCCAATGCTAGATTAAGTTTGATTAATCTTGCTGAAAGTGTACTAACGTCGAAACTTTTCAATTTGAAGAGATTGTAATCAGTTTGAATTACAGCATCCAACAAGCAACTGAAATAGTTTCATTAAGTTATGTTGAATGGGCTTTCACGGTCTTATAAGAATAGGTAAACACGAGCTGAAACTGAACAATAACAATAATTAAGTATTTCAAGTTGTGCAAAGAAAAAGTTTGAATTGAGTTGGCGATGTGTGTGTTTGTGTAAAATGGACGGTTTGTGCACGAAGGCAAGTGGTACACTTTATTGAATGTCTTTATAGGCCACCTGTTACTCGGGTCGGTGTCGGGGAAACAGCTGATCGGGCCCCGGCGAATTATTATTATTATTGTTGTCGGATGTCGGCACCGGCTTATTTATTTGTGACGAGTGGAACGGGGGGTGCGGCGAGGTGACGCCGGGGCTAACTTTCCCGGCAACTTGTACTATTGTTCGATTGTAATCGACACGCCGCGGACAAACGACCTGCCCGGTAGCTGCTAGCTACGGCAGATTATCCGGATTTTATGTCTTAACCACCGGCGCACTGACCAGGCGCGGCGCCACCGGCGCAAGCGCGATAGCATCAAACTAAGAATGAAATTGGTATGTGAATTTTTTCCAACATGACTATCTAAAATGTATGCCTGTTGAAAATAACATCAACAGCACCGCGGAACAATGCAGTGCAACATATGTACAAAATTCTAAATCGGTAGTTACTACACCTCTAATCGTCAGCCAGTGATAAGATGGCATCAAAAATGTATAATGACATAAACAACTCATATCCTGCTTCGGAAAAATAACATACTGATAACCAAGATAACTATAACGATAAATAAGTACGACAAAGCACGCGAAGCCTGACAAGCCCAGTAGAACCAACACACGATAAAAACACGATGTATGCTAGTTTCAAATTCGATGTTGTTGTATAGTGAGCTGAAATAACAACTGGAAAAGTACTTGGAGTTGAGTGGGGGTAAATTATAGGCTGTATGGAGCGACTGCAACCGGATTGCTGCTAGTTTTGCCGACAAATGACACGTTTCCTCGTACTGCCCGCCGTAATAATGGGCCAATAAGCCACGGATAAAGGAAACTGACTTTTCAAAAGCGCTATTATGACTTCAATTACGTAAAAATCTTGAAGCTGTTGAAAATCACCGACACGCTTGCTCCTATAGTTCACAGGCTGATTTTTGCTGTAAGAAGGAATGTCTCATCCTACTGAAACGTTTAACATACATGCTAAACAAAATGCTTGTAAATCCAACAATTTGAAACAGGACTAACATGCCAAACTGAAGTTCACTTTCAGACAAAGGATGTAATATAGCCTTTTAAAATAAAAGTGCAATTATAAGAAACATCTTCAGCAAAAAATACGAACAGAAATGATGAGCAATAACTATACGCTTCAATGATAATAATTTCAAATTTATAAAGGTCACAACTAATGACGTACCAATCCAAATAGAATGATTAAAATAATTAACGAGGAATGAAACATATCAATCAACACGACGATAAAAAACCGAGGGAACAATGCGAATGTCCAATTAAACGTAGCTCGCACACGTCATCGAAAGGTGTTTCCCGAAGAACGCACACACACATTGACGATCAGCTGACTGCTCCGATTTTAACCCACACCACTGAGCCGACTGTTAGAGAACATAAATAATGACGGCCCACCTACCTAGGTATACGTAACACGCCGTATAATTTGTATGAGCGGGCAAAAGAGAAATGTGTGATACGACGTTTTCTCCGGCAATGTAGCATTTACGACGAAGAACATACAATCCAAAGAGAATCTGCGGCAAGTGAGGCGGTTAAGACGTTGTCGAAGCGAAACTGCCGAGCCTGAGACCGTATTAAATAATCAGAAATGCATACGAACAATACAAATACAATGTGCACTGTTATCAGCGCTCATTCGCGATTGNGCTCTTAACAAGATGCTACATTCGATGATTTTTCTTTGAAGGTACCAAAATGAACTTCGCCAAGGTAATCTGACAATAAAATTCACACATAACAAAAAATAATTAGGACCCGAAAAACTACGAAAGCTTAAAATACCGTAGACAAGACCTACTACAACTACGATCTACGGACTACGAATTGGTGTAGTACTACAATAATACATCCCGGCTACGAAAAGTTATCACTCATAATTTGCTACGTAACAGGACCTACAGATGTAGCTTCCTTGATAAAAAAATATCTGTTTCACTAAATTTTCACTTAAACGCAAAATATTAATATAGTATTTTAGTAGCTTCTGGCATACTACGGATTTGAAATTACCCTTAGTTACCATCTACATCTCCATAAATGTCACACATAATGTTCGATTTGAAATAGGTACATTGTTTTTTATGTTATGTCGTATCTCTTTTTTCTTTTTGATAGTCCAAGTATCATACATATACTTGGGTAACATACCTCCAATTTTAAACATATTTTCTAAAATCGTTAACAGTTCGATTTTTTACACTCTATTACTCAAGTTCCTTTGGTAGTGTCAAGTTATTTTATAAATTACATGAGCATAAAAGTAGTCCTACTACTGAAAATGGACAACAAATGAGTTAAATTTACCATGTAGGCATCCCATGAGGAAATATGAGACTTGATGATGATTTTAGAAAGATCACAAGTCCGAAATTAATTAAAATAATATGTAGATTAGAAACCACTTGAAATAGATTGTGCTAGTTCAGAATTATCATGCTTGAGTTACTACTTATTTTGATTGGAGTATTGAACCTCTAATATTGAATTGTAATCAAAGGGAAAACTGTGCGCCACATGACACATTAGTTTAATTTCATTGACAAAAATAAACTCTTGTAACTCTTGTAAGCCTGTTGTACAAACAAACATGATTGTTGTAATACGAAGCATAGAAAAATAATTCTGTTTCACAGAATAATGTTATTTTCGTCGTAACGTGAACAATAATGATAAAAAACATTTATTAGTCAACTGCACAGGAATTAATATGTTTAGTTTGTTTTCGCGTTTTACTGATCCATGGATGCCTCAAACTATTGGCAACTAATTTCGTTCAAGCTTCGAGAACCAGTTTGCAAAACAACTTATATTTTTCCTTCCCAATCGTGAATTCAAGATGAGTCACCCCGAAATTCCGTGTCGATATGTTTTTAAACCGACATGTGTAAAATATGATGATGATAAAGTTTTAGGACAGACCCATAAATAAAATTATTACATAAAACCCTTATAAAATCCATTTCTGAGTGATTTTATGGAGATATTGTACGTGGCAGTGCACAAATAGCCTATAATGGCGGCGGGGCGCGCCGTCGGCAAATGGTAGTCGGCACTCTTGTAACTTATTGTAAAATTGTATACAAATTACAATACTTTGACTCTTCATCAGTTTAATTGCCTTAAAGTATTTATAGCGTAAGATAATTTCAAATAAATATGACGAAACATTGTAATGACTTCGAAATGTTCAATGTAGAGTCGCTACGATAACATTTGCAGCATTGTATGGGTCCAATCAAACTTGCAGCAGTCGCCGGTCATATGATAATAAAAACAAACATCTACCAGCTCCGCCACAAAATAGAACCGAGTATTGAGCCAACGAACACGCACATAGCTACGAAGGCGGTCGGATGTCACGCACACTGGCGCGCCCGCCCTCGGTACACGCTCACACAGCGGCACTCGTAGATAAGAATCGTCCCATTTTACATTGAGTCATGCGGCCGACGCGATACTTACTGTGGCCGCAGGCAGCCGTATGATGACGGCCGTCTTGACAACTTCTTGGAATGACACCGAAACACAAATTAGTGCGAGTTGCGCACATGCACTTCTCACTCACACAACTAAGCACGGTATCGGGGCTGAATAATATCAGAGCGGACAATATTCCCGAGTCGGAATGATCGACCGTCGCCGGTGATAGAAGCGATGCCGGGCGATGGAAGCTACCAAAGAGCGAGAGACTCGTGTGGGATATTGTACGTTCGATTGCGCTAGCAGTGCGCGCGTTTCAGTTGGCGCACGGCGACTGGCGCAGGCGAGGCGTGCGGTGCGGCGAAGCGGGCGGGCGAGCGATTTCACCGGGCTGATATTGCGACGGCACGCCGCTCGCTCCGACCCATATGTATAGCTAGCGGCGGAGCCGAGGGCACGCCATTGTGGACCGGGGGGTCAGAGCTGCACGCACCCGCGCCGTCCAACTCCTCGTCGAGACCACTTTGTTCATCGTGCTTACTTTGTAGCATTCATGCTACCTACACCACTAAATTATTTTCAATTCCAACTCAAGGAGCCCTTGCTCTAAGATTCCAGTACTGAAATAAATTATGCATTTCGCGTAGTTGAACGCCGCTGATAAACAACTTAGTTCGTAGATTGTTGTTTAATCTGTTATTTAAAACCACTAAACTGATTTCTAAAAGGTGCACGACTCTACTTATCTACTATACTTACATGATAAAGATGATTGGACATTATAAAATTAAATGTCCGCAAAAACACCCCCGTAAAACAAACACAATATCATGAACGTCAAAATCTTAGGCACACATTCCACTATCACTCACACAATCACAAGATATCTTTGTTTATCAATGATAACGAGGAACTGAAATGAATAATGTATGAAAACGTTGCAAATGTATTTTGATAGGTCGAACTGTCAAGGGCCAAATTACTAATCAGTCGTCGGTATTGATCGCGGCGGGCTGTCCATACGAGGTGGATATTATATCAGTGCATGTATCGGACATCTCATTACCGTCGCATTGCAAACGTGATGGCCTATTGGGAATGCGGGTCAATGCATATGCGCACTGAGAGCATGTTATTTAAGCACTGTTATAAAACCTGTAAATCGAAATATCGGAACCAGCAATAACTCCTATTTGTTTTGTTGAGAGAATGGTTTATTTTCGACTCTACATTGGTTCTATACAAAGTTATTTTTTATCCACCTAACAAAAGCGAACAATTTAATCATTTTAACATGCCCTATTATTCTGCTCTTTTCATGGGGATATTAGATTTGAAGAAGAAAAGACAGTAAATCGCATTAGTAAACCAATTTGTGTGATCGATCTCATTTATCGGGAGAACAACATCAAAATATCTTCAATCAAAGAAGCAACCATAGAAAAAAGCTAATGTCTGTAGCTTGATAGAGTGCGGCGCCAGCGCGGCGATGCCCCCAGCAAAATTGCTTGATAGAGACGCCCATAAGTCTGCGCCGGAGCATCATTAGTAAAAATTACAGCCGCGTCGAAACGTTAAGTGATATAATAAGTTTTTAATGGGCAATGTACAGATGAAACACGAAATAGTTGCAATACTGTTCGAGTTGACAGCAAGCGTAAATAGAATTTGATAACAATATACATTTTTATAACACCTTTCGTTGCATGTTATATCTTCATTTATAACTAGCTGACCCGGCGAACTTTGTTCCGCCTTAATGGCAATAAATAAGCAGACTTTTTTTTTAATTTCAAACGGGATAAAAAGTATCCTATGTCCTTCTCCTGGCTCTAAACTACCTCCCTGACAATTTTCAGCTAAATCGGTTCAGCCGTTCTTGAGTTATAAGCGAAGTAACTAACACGACTTTCTTTTATATATATAGATAATGAATCACAATCTGAATAAAAGCATTGGGGAAATATTAAAAGCGATTCTGAGAATGCTAAAGGAAACCCGCGGGAGGGTGAGGCAGTGCCTAGCCGAAGCCGGTGGATTTATCGTTAATTTCGATACAGAACCTGTTCTGTAAAGTGGCGGCCGGCGCTGTGAAGGTAGGTTGCTTCGCAAAATAAAAGAAATATGTTTTAGTGGGTTAGCGAGCGTGTTTACGATCGGATTCCTCGGACTCGATTATGCTGCCATTAGTTACATAAGCGCTCTGGGCCGCGCCGTAATTAGACAATTTGTCTTAGGGCCGATACTGTCATAAAAGTATTTTCGGAAAGAACCTTTGGCAAATTGCTACTAATTGCGAATACCGAAACATTTCAATTTGTTCCAAATAATTCATAATGAACGTTGAAGGATTATGTTTTGAATAACATCATTATAAATTTTCACATGTGAATTTTGAGGACGACATTTAAGGAGCGGTGTTTTAATACCACCAAATTGATTGAATTTTCTTGACTATTTAAAAGCAAATATCTTTAAGCTTAGTAAAAAGGCGTGGAATTGCACTGGGTCGATGAATAAGTGTATTTTATTCGGTTAAGTCCGCAGAATGCCGGCGCGGCGAGTATAGCGTGCAGCGCCATCTGTCGTGCACTGCGCGCGGCGCGGACCGGATGCCCGACCAGTTTCGTGGCGATACCGAACACCTGCGAGCGCGGCTCGCCGGGCACCACTCGGAATGGCTCTTTGGACATGTTCCTGCTTATATTTCTTGAGAATACTCCTAAAACTATCTTAAGTTCTTAAAGAAGCCTGTATTTGAACAATGAGTCTATTCAAGTTCAGCTCTACTTGTATCTCATCAATAGAATCTTGATAATTTAATTTTCTTTTGTTTGAAACCGCATTATTTCATGTGCCACATAATAACACTTTACTGGAATTGTTAAACAACATTGAAAATGTAGTGTAAAACCATAGAGAGCATGTCAATTCATATTTTCCATCAACGAGTCATAATGCCCGTCTAAGACCGTATATTGCCCAAATTGACGTTTTCCATTAGCGGGCTGTACGGGCGCTGGCAACGCCACTAGCGACTGCAGTCAAAATGTATGAATTTTGGTTGTCGCCGTGTCTTACTTAGCTGTCGCCAAGTGGAAAACCGGGCGCATATAATTTAGCAATTTAATGTCAACCACGGCATATGCTTAGTGGTAGCTCTTTTGGAACTGTTTAGTGCACGTTTAGGTAAATATTGTTGAATTCATGTTCTTTTCTGTTTATGAGCCAAGGAAATAGCTTACTTACATAAAATTTCCCTTTTTTGAAGTGCTCGCTTACATAAATATGCCCAATGCCTACAGTGAAAGGTACTACAGCCAGTCATACATTTAATTTCAATGTATTTGTTTGAAATGGGTAAAGTCAGGCCTATAAAAAAGGCCTTCCTGGTAGGCCGAAGATATTGGGTAAATGGATGGGGTCATTTCAAGTAAATGTAAAATGTCGAGATATCCATAGGTATTCAATGCAAGAATTTCTTTATCCAATAAATGAGACGTTTTTTTAAAACCATTCCTATTTTTGAACTCGTTTAAAATATTATAAACGACTCTACAATTAAGTCAGTATCGCAGAACTAAAAATAAACAATTTCAACGCAGACAAATGACATTCGTCACGAGGACAAAGAAAGAAGTGAAACAATTTTGTTTAAAATTAATTTCATATTCCCTGGTATACGGAAAGATACATTTCATAAACGGCACAAATGCCTGGTCGAGGTAATTAGAGACAAGTTGCAGTAAGAAACACTGTTACTTCAGCGTGGGTTATTTAAGTTACTGGTACTGGATAAGAGCTTACTATAAACATCGTAGTCGAAGGCTTTACTGTTTAATTGGAACCGCATAAACAAGCCTCTCGGAACATCAAACGGAAAAGGATTAGTTAATGGAAAGTAATCCAGAGTCTCGTTTCAATTACTTTGTGATTACGTTCAGTATTCATGTTTCCAGTTACCGTAAGATTGTATAACATCAATTACATTACAATACGCTTATGAAATGAGATACTTCTATAGAAGAGATAACAGAGAAGTTCAGTAACCTTAGAATTCATTCTTAGAATCTCAATATGACAACGTTTTTCATCTCAAACATATTCTCAAATTCCGATCTAAAGATTATTTTAATATTTTTCCGTAACTTAAACGAAAACTGATCTCCATCGAGAGCATAAAGTGAATCTGGCGAGTTAAAAGGAGTTCGTGTGATTTATGCAAAGAATAAATTTTCTTCATTCGGACTTTCCTATCCGCTCCGATACTTTCAACAAAGTGTCGAGTGTGTTTTCTTATTATACAGGACGTAAAGTTTAAAGTGGTATAAACATTAACGAGTGTGTTGTGGGGAACGTCGCGTCGGCGAAGGCGGTATTTACATTTATGGTTTGTTTGTAATGTGCGAAGTGTCGCATCCTTTGTGTCCTTGCGTCGACAATGCGGCCGTTACGTAAGACGCGTCAATGGCATCTCGACCCTGCCTCTGTTCTCGTCACTGACCCACATTACTCATTCGTTTCACGCAATAACAATAACGGTAAACTTATTACATAATTTGCAACGGCCAGCATTAATTGTGGTGCCGGCGCCAAAACACTATTCAACAACGATACGATAATTGCCGCTCGTTGTAACAGATAGGTGGGAATTTTCAAATTGCTCTCATTATTTATTATAATTGACCATGCCGATTGCTGTATCGTTACGTACCCGGAACGTAAACAACAATAAGATTATGTCTCAATCATGCTTATTGATGGAACGAACTCTACTTCACTTGAAACATGACAATAGAAATTTTGATAATAAATTCAAATCAATTCAAAGATGTCTTCACCATAAAGAAATACCGTCATGACAAATTCAGACGATATTTATAATCACGCATAAATCCATTTTGTAGAGCACGTGAATTGAATTCCACTTCCTAAGAGATAACACGATGACTCACTATTATTAACATTTGTCAATATAAACAATGAATACAAAATACAATAAAGTCAAGGCCGTAGTAACTGTTGCGTAACACATACGTGTACACAGATAAGGATAAATACAATTAGATAGATCGTCCACATGGCAAAGACCTTAAGCAGTGTCATCGAAACAACAGAGATAAGAAGTTTAAATAGCTAGACAGACGAGATGAGTAAACACGTTACTCGTTATTAATAACGTGGAGAGGTGCCGAAACGCTGAATGAACTTTTCTTTTCGTGACGAGAGGAGTAGGCGTGTGTGCGTGTCCCGGTGTCGATGTAGGCCATTGCCAAGGTCGAATGTTTAATATAAAGTCTGGCGTCGGGACATTAAAATGGTCGACCCTCCCCGGACCCCCTTATCCCCAGCTCGGCGGTCGCAATCGTTGCACTTGTTATTTATGATCTGAACTCATCCCCCTCTCACCAAAGACATGGCTATTACGTAATTAAGTGCCCATTTTCTATCTTCTTCCAAATAAAGCTAAGGAACTGAAGATCGAAACTTTGTGACTTAACGAAGTTATCAACAATATCAAACAAGCCATTACTACGGATTCGTTATTTCGTTTCGTTTGATAACAGTTGGTAACCGAATTAAACAGAACTCGCCTAGTAATAAATATTCTTAGACATCAAAGCTAGAATTTATTAATAGAATTCCAATCGTTTAATGATATTGTGTACGTAGGCAGCAACTTCGATCAAGGACCCCTCCATTATGAATTCAATGAATGAAATCGCTCAATGAATAGCGGATCGAGTGAAAATATAAGTTGTGGCACACTATGTAAAACAGACATACAAATCCTAGGATGTCGGTCGATCCGACGACGAAGAGCGCACTCTGAAACTTGAAACTCTCACTTTCTAACAAGAAACGCTTGGTTGCTGTGGGTCGACAACTTCACTATAAATACACAAACTTACACAAAACGGGGCGTAACGTGACATTCACCTACATCTTCGGGGAAGCAAGTAAATAGTTGTAGCGTAAGTGAAAGAACACCACTGGGAGCAAATCATGAATGAAACTAATACAGACAGACATCTGTAGACACACATTAACCCACATCAAAGTCCATAATTATTATATCGTCTGGTAAATCTTGGGGATACCCCGTTGGATCGCAGCCAACAGGAAGGGGCCATCTTTAAATAAATTTCGAATGATAATGCGTTAAGCCCCGTCGATAGCGGCCAGGTTCTAATCTTCGCATTTTCAATGGCATAACCCAAATTCCACCAATTGCTCTACATGTGACAGTTTTATTGAGTTTGCCAAATGCAAGATGAGCGTGACCGTAGTAATTCTTTGAATGAATAAATCCATTATGCTATTTAAAAAAAATAGCTTGTTAATCTGTTATCTCGGAATAATCGATAACATATTTGCCAAATTGATTAGTTCTGCTCAAGTTCGTCTTTCATTCACTACACTCTAATCGACCATGACCATTTTACTAGCAAGATTATAACGGCTTACATTAACAACATTGTTATGACGTACAAACGTTTACAAAAAGTATTTATAAAAAAGAGATAATGCAGAACAATTGATATCTACTTGGCCATATTCTGAATAAATTTTAGTAGAGCCCGATTGAATCATGACTAAAGGTTCAAACTCTACACGTAAACATTTATTTAAGTGCTTATTTTCCTACTCAGAATCATGATGACATTCATAAAACCGTTTGCATTTTCCTGAACGCGGTCCAGATATACAAACGTGCACTAACTAAAGTACCTCATTATGCCGATAATAAAGTGAATTACATCATTACCATGTAGCGCACAATAATTACATTTTGCCCGTCGGACGTCTCGTTAGAGCCGAACCGCGTCCGGGCATAAAAAGTGCACGTTTGAAAGCTTCGCAGAACACACGCGAGCATTCGGTACAAGCTGCACCGGGTACAACGTTCAGTCGTTTGGAGCCTCGGTCACGAATAGTCGGCGGGGGCCGAAGCGTGCCCGCCCATTGCAATCAGATGACATCATTCTTCTGAGGCGCACTGTAATACGATAAGCGAGCTATCTTCTATGTGCAGCAGCGCATTAGATTATACTTTGAGCAAAGCTAGTAAGCGCTTATAAATTCAATTACACCACCTGAACACAGTCCCCATGTTGATGCGAACTACTGACAGAGCAGAGAAGAGTGATAATAAAAAATACTCGTGCAACTTGAGACTAGTTACAGCCAAGCCCGGTGTCCCAGGTCGCTAAACGTCACAAGTACGAACGAGTCGGTGATTGATGGTTGCGGTGACACTGGTTGCGTCAGAGACAAGGTCGCGGGGTCAATGCCGTCACGATTAAAATAACCCACAGAGGATAGGATTCTCTGGAAATGTTAGTAGACGCCTGAGAATGTACGCTAGAAAACGTTAGAGTTAATTAAAAGGTATTAGGACAAACTAAAAATAAACTAGTATAGTTGTCAAGTTTAAAATAGACAGAATGTTTGGACAGAACAGATCGGTGAAATTGTATTAATTAACGTATCTAATAATTGAGTTCTGCTGAAAATGTCTTAACTAACAGCCCTGGGACTTTTAGACCAGCTATTCTTAATATAAATTGAAAAATGTACATCACCCTTGTCTCTGATAAGATTTAGATAAGTCAATTCAGTCAATCAACTTGAAAAAGTTTATCGTCCTTTGTCATTCAGACAAACAATGCTGCCTACCTGAAAGTTTTAC